GGATTCTTCCTTTCCTGCCATGTTCCTGCCAGCAATGTGTCCATGGTTGTGAGCTATCTGCCAGTGACCAATGGAGACAGAATCCTGGATTAGAGGAAGAGGGAACTTTGCTATATCACCAGCTGCATAGACACCATCAGTGACCTTCATGTACTGAAAGAGAAGATACAATACACATTATATTGCCTGGTGTGATGTGTCTGTGTGTGTTAGTGCAAAAAAAGAGAAAGAGAGTGAGAGAAAGAAAGAGAATGATAGGGGCTTGGAGATTTGAAGAGGTCAGTAATGGGCTCCAGTAGAGATGATAAAGCTCCCAGCCTGATAGAGTATTCATACAATGGTGACAGTGCCCAGAGAGAGAGCGTGTGTGTGTGAGTATTATTATTATTAATGATTTGGAGGGAGAGGAGGGACACAGCAGCTGCAGGACGTACCTCATCAACTACAACCTCTCCTCTGTTAGTAAGAGGGATATCTGAGTCTTTGAGATAATCAGTAGCAGGCATTACACCTTTAAAATAATAAAATAAAATAAATTAATTAATTAATTTGTTGTTTGTTGTTGTTTGTTGTTTACCGACCTACTCCAGCGACAACAATATCAGCAGGAATGGTTTCATCAGAAGGAAGAGTAACACCTGTAACCTGAATAATAATAATAATAATAATAATAACAACAACTAAGAGTAGAAGAATCCATGACAAGTAGAAAACCCATTAGTTCCATTGTCACAAAATCCGTGACAAGCAAAAACCCATTAGTTCCACTGTCACGAAATCCGTGACAAGCAAAAACCCATTAGTTCCATTGTTACTATAAATGCAGGGCTTTGGCATGATTTAAAAATTCGTAAAAAATCCAAATTGGATCGGAATCAGTTCAAACTTTCTACACAACATAAGAACATGTATATGCATCAGGAAAAATTATAAAAACAGAGAATTTTCTCCTTTTCATTTTTGGTGAAATTTGGCCAAAATCCCTGTACTATAACAGGGACTTTAGTCCAATTTTGAAGCAACTTTAAAAATTCGTAATAAATTCAAATTTGATTGGAATCAGTTTAAACTTGCTACACAACATAAGAACATGTATATATATCAAGAAAAATTATAAAAATGGAGAATTTTCTCCTTGTCATTTTTGACAAAATTTGGCCAAAGACCATGTAGACTGCAGTACAGGCTTTTTGTCAAATTTTGGAGCAAATTCTCAATGTCAAAATCCTATGTGAACTAAACTCTGAATTACAAAACAAACCTTTCCATCTTCAGACACAATTTCTTTAACACCAGATTTAAGATGAAACTTTATCCCTTTCTCCTCCAGTAGCTAAAAAATTATAAAAAATAAATAAAAAATAAAAAAATAGTAGCAGCTGTACCGTTTGTAATGCTTTCCCGATGCGTTCTCCTAAGACTCTCTCAAAAGGCACAGCTGCAATGTCAATACACTCCACGCTGGCAGCTTTATCCGACAGGTAAGAGGCGACCTCCATTCCAATGAAAGATGTACCTATTACCACAACCCTTTTATCCTGGAAGGAGAGAGAGAGAGAGGGAGGGAATATATGGTGATATAATAACAATAATAATAGCAGTTACATTAGCTTAACCTTGGCATTAGTAGCAATATCATTAGCTTGAGATGGTTCCCTTAGCAAGCACACATTATCAAATCCAGGAACAGGCAGAGTACGAGGCCTACAGGATACAATATAAATGTGGATACAGATATTCACATTTATATAATATGCACATGTACATTAAGTAATACTACAACTACCCAATACTATATATCCCTACTAGTACAGGTGCTTACTTAGCTCCAGTCGCTAGTAGCAGTTTATCATACTGTAGAGTGGTACCGTCAGAGAATGTCAATGTTTTTGATGAAGAATCAACACGAGTGACCTATCATAAGAACATGTAATGTACAGTATATAGATATGAGGTGTAATATAATGTACTTCATTAATTATTAACAAGTGTAATGTAAGTGGTATCAAATATGAACAGAAAGTATCATTTGAGAAATACACTATGATCTAGTATATATCTCTTGGCAGTTAAGAGGAGAAGGAGTCCAACACATAATGAACTAACACAACATAACATAACACACTCACTTCTCTTTCAGTTTGTAGCTCAATGTTGTGCTCTTTATAAAATGACTCTGACCTAAGCTTAATCTCCTCAGCAGAAATGTGCATAGCCTAAGAAAGGGAGAGAGAAAGGGAGAGAGAAAGGGAGAGAGAAATGGAGAGGAGGAAAAGGAAGAGAGAGAGGGAGTGGACATACTTTGCTCAGTTTGGGTCGGTCATAAGGAAGGACTTTCTCTCTAGTACACAATATGATCTTTCCATTGAAACCTTCTTGACGGAGAGTTTCAGCACAAACCACAGTCGCTGGACCTACGACAGACAATAATAATAATAATAATAATAATAATATAGATAATACAGATACATTGATGCCATTTAAATGCATGGATCTTAAAAGGTTTCATATTAATTACTACACGGAGTGAGCTGTGACTGATATTGTGGTTTATAGTGTACACTCATTAAATAGTAAACAGGATTATACAGTCAGCCAATGAGAGGCACATGTACAGTGTATGTAAGAGCAGACAGACTCAAGATAAGGCAAAATTAAATTAAAATTTAATAATTTAAATAATTAAAATATCTTCACCTCCTCCAACTAGAACATAAACTTCGTCTCTCGTTGCGCCGTCAACTGGAGACTTTTGAACAAAAGGACAGCGACCTTTCTCAAGGTCCTAAAAGATAAAAAAGACACAAAATTAATAAATTTCAGTAGCAGCAAGTCCTACATGATTTAACCTAATCTGCTATGTAGCTAATATTAATAAGGATCAGAGTTGTATAAAGTTAGTTGTCAACTATTAACAAGTAGATTAATTCAAATTGTGATGTGAAAAACATGTTAAATGAGATCCTTTCATGAAAGGAAAGTTGCTAAATACTAACACCAGAGTGGAGTCCTAATTAATGGCTGTACATTGACTGAATATATCCTCACAATATTACAATACTATAGCAACAGTATAACACATTGAATACTAGTTTAATACATATGTATAAGTACAGTATGTAACTATATCATTGTGTGCTGTGCAACCACAAAGCTATGAATATTTCATAGCAAAAGCTGCAACCCATGATAGACTTTACAAAAATGACAGTATAAAACTGACACTGGCTAAGTCATTGGAAAGCATGGGGGATCCCAGACACATTCACGTTACAATTTTTGGAATGGGATAATGCTACATTAGTACATTATCCCTAGCTATATTTACTTTAATATAATTCCTAATTAAAAACTAAATACCCACATATACTCACTATACATGATTCATGCATAAGTACATGTCCATACACATTATACATGTACATGTAGAAGATACTCATTGTACTAGAACTACTTTAAAAGGATTGCCTTACATGTATGGAATATACCTTTTTACTAGCAGACACTATGATGTCTTCTCCATCAATCTTGACAGTGTAGCGTGCCAAACTATCAATCCCAGGATAGTCTTCAATGTCTCCCATGGTAACGTTGAAACAAGCACCATGCCATGGACACCTTACCCTACCATCACCAAGATAACTGAGAGAGAGGGAGGGGAGAGAAACATATTAGGCACCATTAACATAATGTATGATAAGGATGCATGGTTAGTGTCAGTATTAAATGTAAAGTGGAGGTCATTACCCTTTCACTAGTGGTGCCCCATAGTGGGTGCATTTGCTGGACACAGCTGTAAAGCAGCCATTTTGATGGACTAGTAAGGCCTTATGGTCGCCATCAATCTCTACCTCTTTCATCCTATGAGCAGAGAGAGAGAGAGAGGCTGGGAGCGAGGCAGAAGACAAGATGATGAGAATAATGAAGTGTTACTTACTGTCCTTCTGGTAAATCGCTTGTTTTTCCAACATTTTTCTCTACAATGTCGTTCGAGCTCTCTTCTCTCTTGCTCTCTCCCTCGTCTCCAGTTCCTTGAGGTTTAGGTTCTTCTTCAACTTGAGGAGGAGGAGGAGTATTAAGTGCTTCAGCTG